CTCAAAAAAGAAGGTAGTTTCATTTAATGTCATTCGCTGTTATTGTTAACCATTTGACTTTAAATAAAATTATGACATTTCATCAAATTCATGCTACCTGATCACTAGAAGAAATGTATATTTTTTTTTTAAGTAGAAGATTTTATTTTATGGACTTGAAAATTGTGCCGGCTACATAATTTCGAAAATGGGGTTGACGACGAAGTAGGTTTCAGAATGCATGAAGAAAGTGTTTACTTACATATTGTCGTTTAAAGTACAAAACCGCATAACTGACATTTTTTGCCAAAAATTAGATTTGCTCATACAAGCTCTTGGCTCAAGCCTTATCCAATCGTCCAGAAATGCAATTTCTTTGTAAAAAAGAGAACCATTTTTTAAATATGAGTGCTTTTACTCTCTAGAAAATAATTTATGCAACCTCACATACGCGTTTTTGCATTTTAATACGTTAATCACAAAGCCCATTTTTTTTCAAAATCCGATGAGAAATTTAAAATTAAATTTGAACCAAAATATAAAAAGGTTTTATTTGCGAAGAACATTCTTTAGAATTCGATTTTTAAATCGCAAGATTGCATTCAAAATAAGAAAACGAAAAAACAACAAATTAATGCGCGCGTGGTTTTTATTATAAAATAAAAAGCACAACTACGATGAAGTCACTACGTAAGTAAAAAAATATATAGAAATATATATGCACATTAGACTGCATCACCAAAATAAGTTGCGGTTTTTGCACCGCGATTACAAAATCTATTGTATTCTAACACGTCCAACAAAATATTTCAGAAAAATATTAAGATTTACGTGAGCTGGACCGATTTGAAAATACCTCCAAAAATGTAGGTTTTTATGAATAAAAAGAATCTCCTCAGATGGCAAAACAGTTTGAGCTTAAAAAATCTCCAGAAAAATATTTAAAAATATTTTCAACGCAATAGTAATAATGAGATTTTTGATGGTGTTTTTTTTTAACTTTTTTCAAAGATTGATGTACGAAAAACTTGAATAACTGGGCCAAAACTACTCCGATTTAGACTTATGTTGTCTCAGTAGAAGGCATTTTCCCAATCTTTATTTCTGTTTCTCATTCACGTCCGATTTTTTTTTTTCCAAATACCAACACATCTTGGAATAACGCTCGTTCATCCTACCTTTCTCTTTCATCATTTGAATGAGTTTATTAGCAAAGAAAATGTTTTATGCAAATTTTATAAGCTTAAACCGTTTAGTCGTTTGAGGGGATTTTTTTTTTTCAAAAAAATCTTTAAGAAACTTTTTTATTCATAAAAAAACTCCATTTTTGGAGGTATTTTCAAATCGGTCCAACTCACGTAAATCTTAATATTTTTCCGAAATATTTTGGTGGAAGTCTTAAAATATAATAGATTTTATAATTCCAATGGAAACACAGTACCGATTTTTTTTGTGTGTGGAGAGTGATGCAGTCTAATGTACATACATATATGCTTAAGGAATACTGTATAAAAAATTTAAACGCCAATATTTAATTACTTTTAAATAATATGGCTTTTAAGTTAAGGCGTGCGAGTAAACGTGTTAGAATACTGCGTATGGTGCTACATACGAAATTACGGGTATATGAGCACGAGTGGTTATTTTTAGTTTTTAACCGAAGGTTATCAATTCGTCGGAATATTTTTGTTTATTTTCGTTTTATGTATGTTACCGCATAACTTTGGGCCACGTTAACCGATTTCTATAATTCTTTTTTTTTTTAAGAAAAGGTGTTACCTCACAGGTGGTCCTATATTAATTTTGGTAAAATCCGATCATCCGATCTTGAAGAAGTTAACGATAATCTTAAACTTTTATAAGAGAATTGAAGTCGGTTTTGTTTTTTTGCTTAAAAATTACTTGTTTAGTATATCTTTTTTAAGTTTTCATTTAAATACAATTTCGCGAAGGAATCCTGTTTTTTATACAAAACTGAAGATAAATCATTTTCTAAGATAGGTGATGCACCAGTTTTTTTTTACATACGTACTATGTATATATGCAAATACATACTATACATGTGTACATATGTAATGTGAAGTCGTACTGACTGGTCAGCAACAAGACGAACTTTCTCATTTTTTCGGTATCAACACTATCCTTCAACTATAGTAGGCCAAGGTTACAGTATGGGTCCCCCACTCATATGGTATCCTCATAGCGGAACTTATGTATTGTACTTTTTATACCCGAGCGCACTTGTGCACAAGGGTATATTAATTTTGTTCACATAACGGTTGTTTGTAACAGCCAAGACGAATCGAGATAGATATAGACAAATGTATACATAAATGATCAGGATGAAAAAAGAAATTGATTAAGCCATGTCTGTCTGTCCGTCCGTCTGTCCGTCTGTCCGTCCGTCCGTGTACACGATAACTCGAGCAAAAATTGAGATATCTCAACGAAATTTGGTATGTAGGTTTCCCTTAATCCAAGGTAGGTTGGTATTGAAAATGGGCGAAATCGGACCTTAACCACGCCCACTTCCCATATAACGGTAATTTCCAGAAATACGAAAACTGCGATATTTTAGTAACTATTGGAGATTATTCACTCAAAATTGATATTTGTAATAAGTTTTATATAAATAAGAATATTATAAATTTTTGGAAAATGGGCGTAGCCACGCCCACTTATGGTTACATGTGTATATCTTGGTAACCGCTGCACCAATTTCTTCCAAGCTTGGCACAGTTGTTGGCCTTCGCACAACATACCAAATGGCCGAAAATTTTTAAAGTCGCTCAATAACCACGCCTACTTCCCATATAACGGTCATTTAGAGAAATACAAAATCTTCGATAAATCAGTAAATATTGAAGCTAATTTATTCAAAATTGATGCTTGCAACAATTCTTTACCAAGAAATACGATTATGGTAAAACTTTGGAAAATGGGCGTGGCACCGCCCACTTATGATCTCATATAAGTATATCGGTAACCGTTCTACCAATTTGTACCAAACTCGGTGTGGTTATTGTGCTTGCCACATGAAAGCAAAGCGTTGAAAATTATTGAAATCGGACTAAAATAACGGCCGCTTCTCATATAACGGTAAATTTCAGAAATGCTTGAAACTTCAATATTTCGAAATTGAAGGACGCTAATTTACTTAAAATTGATACACCCCGGCTTACCATCTAGCGGAAGGTTTCGGAAAGGTGAAAAAACATATATTTAATACTTGCGCCGGGTATTTAATGTTCGGCTTCGCCCGAACTTAGACTTTCTTACTTGTTTTCAGATAAAATTCTTTTAGTTTAACGACTGCCGAAATCAAATACGTTTTTATGAATATAAGTATTTTTATGTATATGTATGTCAATTCAGTCTATGTGTGTATATGTATGTACATACATATATGTATGTATTTTCTTGCACGTATATACATTCTTTAAAACTAAAATCGTATTTCAATAATGTTCTCCTTTTCATTATTTCAGAATTTCACCATATAGTATATTCAACCAAAGGCAGCTAGAAATCTTAAGTACTGAGAAAACTTCATCCAGGTGTATATCGATATTCTGCCCTCAAAAGTTGGATTATCTCAAAAGGGAGTAAATAAGTGCATATATTCAAAACAGCTGTGTAGTATTCATTTCATGGAAACCTGATTGTAATCCTGTGTGTCTAACTCCTCTCGATTGCTGATAAAAATGGGCGCAACTGCTTCGACTGGCGGTTACCCAATGCCGGCGGCCTCAAGCAGCAATAGTGGAGGTGGAGGTAGCTCTAGCCTGCTGTTGCCTTCTTCAGCTGCACTAGCAACCAGTGTTTCTGGAAGCAGTGGTGGTGGTCCAGGTAGCAGCTCCTCTGTCATGGGTGCCGCAGGTGCTGGTGTTCCTCATTTCCGGGAGCAGCGTCGAAAGCGAGTGACTGGCTTTGCCACACTGAAGCGGAAATTCATACGTCGGCGACGCTCTTCAAAAGCCTGTGATCATGCGCGTGTACTTCGCGATTTCGTATCCGACTGGACCCCGCTCGAGCTAGCAGCGTTATGTGAGGAATATGAAGCGTTGGCCGCTCTAAGAGATCTATCGGTAATAAAAAATATCCCGGAAAAATTACTGAATCTATGTATAAATATTTGCTTAATGCTTTATAGGTGCAAGCGGAGCTGGCGCGTCCTCCTGCAACAACATTCAAGCAGGATTTAGCCGCAATTTACGATTTGAAAACTTGCACTGACTGTGATCTTGTGTTTCGCGGCTCTATTTTTCCGGTACATCGGTCGATATTATCTTCGCGCTGTTCGTATTTCAGAGATTTACTGGCGGGCTGTCCGGGTTTCGGTGCCCGCATTTGTTTAGAATTGCCAACATCGCCCATAGATGTTCAGCTGTTCTCATCGTTATTGCGTTACCTGTACACGGGTGATCTATGTCCACATGACCCCTCTATGGATATTAGTTTACTCCGGCAGCTGGGAGATGACTTTGGCACGCCGAATCCGTTGGAGCATGACTTGCGGTATTTGCTCGAAACCGGGGATTATGCTGATGCGGCGTTGGTGTTCACAGCAGAAGGCACCGATTATCATCGGCCAGATTCAGGAAGTTCCGAGTACGGATTTCGACCGAAACTCGAATTACCTTGCCACAAGGCAATCCTTAGCGCCCGGTCGCCCTTCTTTCGGAATCTCATAGCACGTCGTACGCGCAATATTGACGAGTACACAGAGCGAGCATTGCATGTGCCCACTCGAATCGTACTTGATGAGACAGTGATACCAAAACGATATGCGCGAGTGCTATTGCATGCCATCTACCTGGACACAGTCGATCTGACGTTAATATTACGTGGCGCAGGGTCGGGAAATTCGGCGGGATCACTGGGCGAGGTGCACGCTTTGACGAATACGGGACGTGCGCGACCCACGCCCTTAGAGGAGGCTATGGAACTGTATCAGATTGGAAGGTTTCTCGAATTAGACATTCTAGCGCAAGGTTGCGAGGATCTGATACTTGAGTGGTTAACGTTGGATACACTACCGACGGTGCTTAAGTGGGGATCTCAGGTGCGCAAACTTATTTTGAATGAAATAGTTTAAGATAGCAGCTAATTTAGATTTCTCAAGTGGAAAAAAAATGTGATACATGGTGAATCAGTGCTCTCTCTTTCATCTCCGTCTCTCTCTCTTGCCGTATATATAAGTATTGAAAATGATTTTTTAGGTTGAGTTCAAAATTTGAATTAAGAAGATTAAGATTAAGTTTAACTTAAAGATTAGAGTAAATACGGTTAAAAGC